TGACTGGATATGGAATTTTTCTTAGAAATTCACTAGTAAGTTGGAAATCCCAAAAACAGGCAATGGTTACTCGTAGTTCAACTAAGGTTGAATAGACGTCTATGGCCTCAACTTGCTGTGAAGTGATATGGTTGAAGAGTCTTTTAACAGACTTTGGAGTGATTCAAGATTCAGCAATCAAGCTTTATTATGAGAATTTATCTACCATCTATATTTGTAAAAATCCTATTTTTCATGAGTGTAGTAAGCATAAAAAGATGGGCTGCCATTTTATACAAGAAAAGGTGCTCAGCAATGTAATCGAACATATTCACATTTCAACTGAAGATCAGGTTGCAGACTTGTTTACCAAAGCTTTGTTACCAAAGCAGTTTCACAAACTATTTGGCAAGATGCATGTTCATAATATACACGTGCATCTTGAAGGGGAGAATTAGCCAAGATAACTGTTTCTAATTTAAAGTGGATGCTCAATCGGAAGATGGAAAGCTTTGAATAGAGTTGGACGTGAAGAAAGAGTTACTCATAGTTGGTTCAATGCCAAACTTGTAAATAAAGTAGCCCTCAGTTATTTATTTAATATAGTTATTTTTATTTTTACTTTTACTTTTATTTTCCCTTTTTAGTTTAGTTAATTATTTTAATTGAGTATAAAAGGGGTTGATGTATATTCATTTTTTAATTAATAAAAAATTTAATTGAGAGCTTTTCTCAATTCTCTCCCATGATACTTCTGTGAATTTTACAAGTCAATTAAAAGAACATATTGTCATATCAAGACAATATTCTGGAAGGCAATTCCAACTTTCTATAATAAATGCTTTGATCGGCTTTCCTTGAAGTACTCGCATAGTACGTTAATGACAAAGGATTGAGTAATTAAATATGAGTTTATGCACATGTTTTTAATCATTTTCTTCTTATTTTTCGTTTTAACTTAAAACGGCATTTTTGCTATGCCTTGCCCTTAACATGCCATTTTAGTGTTTCTGGTAAGGCTGTACCAAATTTGGGTTTTTTCTTTTTCTTTGTATCTCATTTGTTTGTCAAAGTGGTCTCTGCTTTGCTTTTCTACGTGTATTTTGGGTCCAGCGTCTAAAGAAAAGATAATAGGGAAAAAACCCCATACGGGAGACGGCCAAACTCTGGTAACTCTCACCACAACAGCAACATTAGACAACAAAAAGCGAAGAAAAATAATATTTGTCCGAAAGCGAACATGGAGAAGATAGAGCATGCCATGGTGACCACCAACGGCATAAATATGCACGTGGCATCGGTTGGTTCGGGTCCGGTAATCCTTTTCTTGCACGGCTTCCCCGAGCTCTGGTACTCCTGGCGGCACCAGCTTCTGTCCCTCTCTTCCCTTGGGTACCGTTGCGTGGCTCCCGATCTTCGTGGGTTCGGTGATACCGACGCGCCTCCCTTGGCGGCTTCGTACACTGTTTTCCACATCGTGGGGGATCTCGTGGGCCTCCTCGACGCGCTGGGTGTCGATAGTGTGTTTTTGGTGGGGCATGATTGGGGTTGCGATTATTGCTTGGTACTTTTCTCTCTTCAGGCCTGACAGAGTTAAGGCTTTGGTCAACTTGAGCGTGGCGTTTCGGCCTAGGAACCGCAGCATGAAGCCCGTGGAAGGATTCAGGGCTTCGTTTGGTGACGATTACTATATTTGCAGGTTTCAGGTCATTGATTCAGCCACATGATTTTAAGTTACTTTCCTGTTTTATCTTCTCTGTTCAGAATTGCCCTCTTTCGTTTTATGATTTTGTTGAGTAAAACTAAAACTGGATTAACGAAAGTTACACTTTTAATGATCATTAATCAGTTGGTTGACTTTATATTTGCCTTGTCCAACTTTCTTCTTGCAAGTAAGTTTGAGGCCATCATCACAATTCTCCATTTCCCCTCTTCTTCAAAAATAATATTCTTTGATTGGTTTTTTGGGAGAATTAGTTGACTTACTGTTATTACTGAGGATGGAAGTATGCACTTTTCTGCTAATTAAAGTAGCTTCGTAGCATCAATCATGTGATTTTGGAATTATTGGGTTGGCCTAACTGTTTTGTTAATGGATGTCTAGCTTTTCTTTCTTTTTTTTTTTTTTTTGGGGGGGGGGGGGGGTGGGGGTGGGGTGGGGCGCGGTGGGGGACGGTGTAAAAGATTTTTAGCATTTAAGTTGCCTACATTTAGGGCTCACTTAATGGTGTCTTGGATTACAGGCCCCATTGCTAACTTTTAAGATAACAAAATTCAGTGTCCCACTCCCACAACTGCTTAGCATATGAAGACAATCTCGGTTATGGGTTGACACTTTTGATGATTTCTGCACATTTATAGACTTCTATCTTCATTCTAAATGTTTCTAGGAAGAATAATAATTTGGCACAAATGGTAGCTGTGCCGTGTGATCAATGAAGGAGCCTATGGTCAACTCTGTCGGATCAAAGAATGACATTACAATGAAGCTTAGACTACTGTTCAGTTCACTTCATCTGAGGATATGTCCCCACTGTTGTTTAAATGATTGAGACCACATTTAATATACCAGTTTTCTTCTTGCAACAGATTCAATATACAAATATTTCAAAAATTAGTTTTCTAGTAGTTTGTATCAATTAAAAACATGGATGCCGGAAATGCTTTCTGTGAGGTTTTCTTTTCTTCTTGTCAGTTATCTAAATTTATATATCTATTCAACTTTTATTTTCATTGTATGCATTCTTCATTATGCTGTAGGAACCTGGGGAGATTGAAGAAGACTTTGCTCAGATGGATACTGCAAAAATTATGAAGATATTCCTTACATCTCGCAATCCACGCCCACCTCGTATACCTAAAGAAACTGGGTTCAGAGGGTATCCTGATCCTCAGCCCTTGCCCTCTTGGCTTTCAGAAGAAGACATAAATTACTTTGCTAGCAAATTTAATGAGAAGGGATTCACTGGAGGACTGAACTATTATCGAGCTTTGGATCTGTACGTGCATGCTACTCTCATTTCTATTTTAGTTCTGATGAATCTTGACTGATATGCTAACTAGCTAATATTTTCTTGGTTCTTGATCCTTCTTCCATGCCTTTCACTTATATTTTGGAACCCTGTTAAACTTTAGAAATTTTCTACTATATTATTTGATGAGGATTAGATAAGCATGAAATTGAGGCCTAGATGTCTACAGTACTTGGTGGAGCAGTTTTTTGAAGCTGATGTTCATGCATGTCATTCAACACATCTAGTTTCGTTATCTTGACATCACATATATAATGGACTAACACTAGTGCTTTTGTCAGCAGAGAAATTGACCTTTTCCACCCATATTTCCTCGTGCTCTTCATTTTGATTAGGAATTAGTAGAACCTGATGACTCAATTCCTCAAGACTTGAAAAACTGTATCAATGGTGGAAGGGTTTGTCTGTGTAACCAAGTTAATCCAACTTTTCTTGTTGCAGAAGCTGGGAACTGATGGCACCATGGACTGGATTACAAATCAAAGTACCAGTTAAATTCATCGTGGGTGACCTGGACATTACCTACCACAACCCTGGTGCCAAGGAATATATACACAATGGTGGCTTCAAGAAAGATGTGCCCTTCTTGCAGGAGGTAGTTGTCATGGAAGGAGTAGCCCACTTTATCAACCAAGAAAAACCTGAGGAGATTAGCAGGCACATTTATGACTTCATCAAGAAATTTTGATTCTTGTCTTCTTTAGTATGCGGCTTCCCTTGAATTTCTGACTCTAAAATAAGGTGTTAAGATGTTGCAATGCATCTAGGGAAACGATGGAGAGAGCAGAGTCTGTGATAAAGGTCAGATTAAGGGTCGAAGCTAGTCTGTCAATTCAGTGTTTCAGTTCATTTGTCTAACGAACCCAAGCTTTAGTGATCTTCATAAAGCAACTTATTTCCAATTGAGATACTCCATTTAATATTACAAAGTAAAATGTGACTTAGATTAACAGTTTACTACCAGCTTCAACTATCATTTTTATCAGAGTGAGCCAGCACTCAAATATTAATGAGCAACTTGTCTCGTTTATTAGGCAATCACTGATTAGGCCTAGGCATGGAGAAGGCCTGTCACCTGTGCACCTGACTATGGTAGGTAAGTTCAGCGATCAGTATAGCCTAACCATAAATTCTCTTATCTCTTACCTTCTCAACTACACAAGAAGTGACACCCAACCAGCCATGTATTTTATCTAAACAATCTAAATTCTCAGTTTTCTATCTTTTTGAAGCTAAGAATCAGAATATGTATGTCTTAAAATCCAAGGGAGAGGGGAACTCTAAACTCACAGCAACCTATTATTTACAAGGGGAACATGATATGTCGTGTCATCACACCAACTCCGCTTTACTGCAACCTTACTGACACAATGGCCTATGAGTTATTGTCAACTTTGACGCAATCTCACGATTTTATTGCACAAAAGAAATCTCATAGATTAAAATCTTACAATTTTGCCCTACAAAAAAAACCTCATAGATTAAAAATGATATGAACCATTAAACGTCCAATCTCACTCAACTACATAATAAAGGTTGTTTAAACCATTAAATACTCACTCTATTACACAACCAACATAAAATTCATAACTCCCGTGTAAGACAATGATATCCTCCGAGCTTGCTTCCTTCATGTGACATTCACATGGTTCCCGCCGAGAATGTGACACCAAGCCCAAGCCAAAATTATTTGCGTGTTAAAATAGTTGAGCATTGACGACGCCCAGACCAAAACAACTAGAAAATACTTGCAAAACATCTACGTTCAAGTGAAAATCTTGTAGCGTCCTTGCATGGTTCAGAGCAGTATGGAACATCATAATCTCTTAGATTTTTCATTCTGTAATGGCAACCCATAAGTCCTTCATAGAGATCCAGAGAAACGTATTCAATCATTCTAAAATTTCCTTCATGAGATAGATTAGCTTTATCCCAGGGCAAACCATGCCATAGATTGATGAGCTTATCCTTGCATGATTCAGAGCAGTATGGAACATCATAATCTCTTAGATATTTCATTCTGCAATGGCAACCCATAAATCCTTCATAGAGATCCAAAAAAACATGTTCAATCATTCTAAAATTTCCTTCATAAGAAAAATGACAAAAGATTCGAAACTACAATAACATTCCATGAAAGAGAAAAAGAACAGAAAAGGTGGAAAAATGATAAAAAAAGAAAAAAAAAACAAAATGCCCATTTTCATGATCATAGGTTGATAAGTAATTTTCTTCCAAGGCAGTTGAGAACTCAAACCCTGAAGCCTTTGCTGTTCCTTCTTCCTCTAGCCCTCTCAAATTTCCTTCCCTTTGACCGCACATAGGGCTTGGTGTGACTGTGTGGCACACCAGGAGCTGGTCCAAAGTGCTTCACAGCCTCACGAGAATTCTTTGGGCCTCGAAGGAGAACCTGCAGATTTTCAACATAGAATTTGAGTCAATTTTTCACCATACCACAATGTTGATCAGTTTTCAAAGGCAATTCCTTTTGTCAAACCCCTAATTAAAATGTAAAATAGAAAGAGAAACAGGGGAATGATGTGTAAGATAGAAATAATTTAATGGGTATAGTCTTAAAAAATCAAAATATTTCATAAAGGGGTGGATTGCATAGATAAGAAGCATCCAAAATGGTTCAGCCTCCTATCATCATGGCCTAATTAGGAAGTCCATAGCCCTTGCACTATGTTTGGTACCCAAGAAGGAAATAGAGGGAAGGGAAAAGGATGAGGAAAGAAAAAATTAAGGAAAGGAAGGGATGTTTTGTGAGTGTTTAGCATAAAAGATGAAAATAAGAGGGAAAAGAGAGAGTAGGATTAAAATTGGAAAGAAAAGGAAAAACTATTAAGTAACAATAGTGTTTTCCTCCCATTTTTGGAAAGATTAGATTTGGGGAGAGGGAAAGATACAAATCCATCCATTTTCCTTACACTCTCCTATTTCCCTCCTACCAAATGAAAGAAAGAAACACTATTTTTCTTCCAAACCCTTTCTTACCTTACTCTTTCCCCCCTACCAAACATAGTCTTAAGAATGGCCAGTAAAAGAAAAGGTATCAGGTTGAGTTCCACACACCTCAGTTTAACTAAGTATATTTAAACAACATAGAAGAGTTTGAAAATATGGAGATCTTAATAAATGAAGAAAGAGACAAAATAAATAAAAGTTTCTGTAGTATACGCTTTCCTGTTACCCTAACACTCAAACCCACATCTATTTTAGTTTGCAGTACCTTGATTAAAAAATAAAAACAGAAAAAGATTATATGAGGAGCAGAACCTCTCTACATAAGTAAGATGAAAACAGCAATTCCTTAAAGATTCATAATATCCCAACAGCTAATGATATAATTTAAACAGTTACTGCAACCCCTCAACTGCAATATGCATCTGGATAATCATACAATTAACTACTAAATTCACAGCTGCATTGAATTCAGATGCCAAGTCTTGAAACATTTATCAATTTGTGCCATTAGCACTTTGCCACTTCATACCAGTTTAAACTAGCAGGTGATATCATCTACCTTTCCTACCAAAAATAAAAAAACAGAAATTCGAAAGCTAGCAAAAACAAGCCAACAATTCCAATAGCAAAAGCAAGCCAACAATTCCAATCCAAAACCTGATATTTTCAGCCTATGATTGAATAGCAAGCAATCACACAATGAAGAAAACTGAAGTCAGTGATCTGTATCAGAAAGCATACCGTGTTCTGACCAAGAGGTGCTCGAAGAGCAAGTTGGTCAAATGTCAAGCATTCCCCACCAGCCTTCTCGATCCTTGCCCTTGCTGTCTCAGTGAACCTTAGTGCAGTAACCTTCAGTGCCGGAACTTCATACACACGAATATCATCGGTGACAGTCCCAACAACCACAGCAATCTTATTCCTCCTGGTCGGATCAAACCGATAACAACAATCAATCACTCATTACATGAAATTTTCAAAAACAATTTCCAACAAAATAAATGAAGCAATAGAAATATAATAAATAATAAATCTAATAAAACAAATTGAAAATAACTATAAATCACCTTGCCCTTCGTGAATTCAATCAATCTGGAGAGAGACAAAGGTGGCTTGTTGACTTTGCTCATAAAAAGCCGCTTCAAAATCACCGCATTGAATTGTCTCCCAGTCCTTCTTACCAGAAACCGGTAAAGCTGGTCATAGATCCAAACTCACTTTAAAAAACATTCAAATTTCTTTATTAAAAGGAACTTAACAACAAAAATAGCAAGAACGAAATGAGACTGATAGAAGAACAAGAACCTTGACGAGGAGCTTGAGGTAGATATCATCGGACTTGGGGGCAGTTCTCTTAGACTTCTTGCTCTTGCCTCCGGCGACCAAGTCGATACCCTGAAATTGCAACAAAAAATAATAATGTCAAAAAGAAAGGAGAGAAATGGCGGCGGTTTGTGTTAGAAATTTGGAGAGAAAAGAGATACCATTGCTGGTGAAGCTGCTTCAGGTGGTTTTGGGGGGGCGGGGAGGTGGGGGTGTGGAAAAGGGGAGGCGACTGCTGAGAGAAGGATATGTCCTTAGAGGGAGAGAGCTAGGGTTTTAGAGATCGTGCGTTTTATTTTGTTAGGGAACAGGTGAAATTAGGTTTGTCGTTGAGATCCATTGATACTCCATAGAAGGGCCCGACTCGCATTTCTAAAAGTCTGCAGTTCTCCTCTTGTTGGGCAAACTTTCCATCGCACTATGGGCCTGGTCTGGGAACATATCAAATTGCTTAGAGTTTAATGATTTAGCTAAGTTAATTAGAAGGATTAAACTTTTAGTTAAGTTAATTCTTGCCCCAACTTTTTGGATTAGAGTTTAATGAATAGTTCCTATTTCCATTACATTTTGTGGGCTATATTCACTGTACATGTAATTATAATTCATGGTTACAGTTGTATATAAATAGGAATTTAACATAGTTTTTTTTTAAAACAATAAATTTGATTAAACATAGTAAAAGTTAGATAGTTTAATTTCACATTTGAGTAAAAGTTTTTTCTTTTGAATAATATATTTTGATAAATATTTAGGATAGGATTAAGCAAAACGACTATTCAAAAAAACTGATTAAATTAAATTACGTTCGATTAATTCAACTCATTTACAGGTTTCGATTTTTAAAATTTGATTATTCTTTTATTTATTCGATTCAATTTTTGATGAGTAAACCTTATGATTAAATTGACTGAACATGAAATGAAATATTTTTAAATTATACATAAATACATATATATACACTATTTTCAATAATTCTCATTAACTGTTTCAATTTATTTAATTTAAGTTAATTTATATTTTATGTTGTGATGAGATGTGATGTTGGATTTGTTAGGTTGAAATTTATATTTATATATTAGCTAGATATGTTATTATATATATTTTTAATTAATATAAATCTATTGAATTGATCAAAGTAATTCAGTTTTCGACTGATTTGATTTTCTTTAGAAATTTGATTCATTTTGGTTCTTGGAATTAACAAGTTTGATTTGTTTGACTTTATGATTGTTAGTAAAAAATTGATTGGACCAACTACTTGCACACCCATAATAAGGGTTAATACATGATAAAGTGTAAATATATAAACTATACCTTAATCTTAGAGTGTCACTTTAGAATTATATAAAAGCAAAAATTTAAAATTTTTTAAAATAAATATTTTTAAGAATAAGAGTATTTATTTTTAAATATTTTAACTTTTAAATTTATCTATTAATAAGATGATAATATTTGATTAAATGATAATGAAATAAATTTATACATTAATACTGCACCAAATAAAAACTTTTTAAAAAATTGTTATTTTTTACGTGGAATAATATATGACAATAAGTAATTCTTCCCTCTAAGAAAGAAGTTGAGAATTTTTCAGTAAGGCATCAACCTTGTTTTTAACGGCTATTGTGGTATATCGACCAATAGCCTAGAGGCACCATTTTTGTTATATTGGTGGGAATTTAATGAGAGCATGCATATCTTTAATTTTCCCAATAAAAAAAAAACGTTGCTGACTCATTTTTCCACTCTATGGCGTATACTGATGTATTGATTTCATGCAGATAGTATTTTGGTCGCTTTGATTATTTAATTCGGTAATTATTTATTCATAATTTCTGTTTAAAAAGTAAGGCTGGAATCTCTTTCCCAAATTAAGAAAAAAATTAGGACTGTATAACTGGAATCCGAAATTAAAGAAGAAGAATACGGAAATTTCGCTCACTTGGTTAAAACATTTTGCAGACTGTGCGCCATCGAACAGTGAAAAAGACAATGGCAGAGTTTTTAAAAATGAAAAAAAAAAGAGAGCCTATGACTGGTTGGTTAAAGACTTAAAGCCATTAAAGTACATGAAACTGGAAACGCGAAAGCCAGCAGCGGAATTGGATAGAATAGCAGGCAAGATGGGTCGAAGAATGAAGGGAAAATCGTTGCTGGAAGTTGGAGCTGATGGCGTTGCAATCATCACCATCAACAACCCACCTCTTAATTTGCTTTCTGCTGATGGTTGGTATTATCTGCCTTTTACCTTTTCATCTCCACTTTTCTTCTCTACTATCCAACCATTAATTCAAGAAAGTTACCGGTGCCAGACTTTGATTTCTGAAGCTTACCCTCTGTAAGCTGTTATTGTTTTCTTAATGGACCAGACTTTGTCTCTCTAAATTTTCTGAATTTTTCGTAGTGCAAATTGATTTTCAGTGTTACTTAGCTTTAAGGAGAATGTTGAGCAGGCTCTGCTAAGGGACGATGTGAACGCTATAGTTATTACTGGTAAACGTAGACTAGCACTACTGTGCATTATCTCCCGGGGAGAGGATATTTATCATTTGAATGTAATGTCTTGAATTATTAAAACAGGTTCAAAAGGGAAGTTTTCAGGAGGCTTTGATGTCACAGCTTTTGGGAAAAAGGGTGCATCAAATATTTCTTACTCTTCCTCTCTCTTTTTTTCTCACTGCCTTTGTATGGCAGGGCTCTGCGTTGACCCTAATATTATCTACTAATTTAATTATCCTCGATTTACATCTGTATATCACAAGAAATCATGGAAAGCTTGGCTTTTGGTCAATTGAATTTATGACCGTCATTTTAGAAGGTACATTTATACATTCTTAAATTCTCTTATCTGCTATCAAGTTTTTCTGCAGGTCTCTTATAAATTTCTTTTGGGATTTCTTATCTGCTAGAAAACCCTTCGTAGCTGCTATTGATGGCCTTGCTATAGGTGGGGGACTGGAGATTACGCTGGTATGTTTTGAATGCGATTGGTAGTGACCTTACCACGTGTATTCGTAGAAGTTCTGATGATTTACTTGATACCTCCTTAGGCCTGTCATGCACGCATATCAACATCTTCTGCACAACTGGGCCTGCCTGAGCTTCGGTATGGAATTCTTCCTGGATTTGGTGGTAAGGGCGCGCTTATGTAGATGTAGATAATTATTATTTAATTTCCTAGGTCCTATATGGAAGAATTTTTTGGCAGTTTAATTTTCCCCTTAAGAAAAAGCAAAAGAAACCATTTTTCCTGACTTCTTTGCTCTTCAGTCTTATCTTATTTCAGGGACACAGCGCCTGCCACGCCTTGTAGGCCTTCATAAGGCTCTTAAAATGATCTTGGTATGATCACTCCTTTTGCTATAGGAAGAAATCATGCTAATATTCTTAACATGCAAGCTTCATTTTCCCTCCCTTTCTAATTGATTTCATACACTTGTAAAGTTTCTCTTCTTTGGCTACATATTGAGCAACAAAAAACATCATAAGTAATTCTTCCTTTCTCTCTCTCTAGATGTCCAAATTTGTGAACGGAGATAATGCTCAGAGCTTAGGGCTTGTAGATGCCATTTCTTCTACAGATGAATTGATTACCACCGCTTGTCACTGGGCTAAAGACATTTTGAATTGTAGAAGACCATGGGCTGCTAGTCTTTACCAAACAGACCGATTGGAGCCCTTGGCAGAGGCCAGGATGATCCTTAAGCATGCCAGAATGAAGGCCAAAAAGCAAGCTCCAAATCTCAAACACCGACTGGTCTGCATTGATGTCATTGAAAAAGGTTTAGTGCATGGTCCTCGTGCTGCACTTTGGAACGTATATTTATGGTCATCTTTTTGGTTCCTACTGCAGATAATCTTATTGGTGTACAAGATGACATCCTGATTTTTTAGGAGTCAGAGGCATTAGCAGAACTTCAGCAATCTGACACTTGCAGGAGTTTAGTCTACTTCTTCTTTTCCCAGAACAGAACCTCCAAGGTATACAGTCATAATAGCTATAATTGTTCTTGATCAAATCTGAAAGGGTTGTTGCTTCTCATAGTTAAACCTTTTTACATCTGTACTCTGATGCTGATCTTTTGGCATGGTTGGTACCAAAACTTTGGTTGACTTCCTTGATAAGGGCTCAGTTGTGAATCAAATTTAAAAGTAGTTGATATAAACACATATTTCTGTGAAGTCAAACAAAATCAATCAAGCTACAGTTGTAGCTAAATTTCAATGCTTAAAATCATGTCTTGATTAGTTTGGAATGCTTAGGTTGCAAATCAAAACTAAAAAAATTAATTGATATGAACACAATTATCTCCGAAAAATCAAACAAATTCATTTAAGCCCTATGACTTTAGCTATATTGCAATGCTTAAGGTTGTGTCCTTATTAGTCTACATGTAACAAAACTTCTAGTTTCTTGATATTTTGAAATTGATCTTGTTGAGGCATCTTCTTACTCATCGAATGCTTATCCTTGGTCTAAATTGGTTAACAGGTTCCTAGTATCGCTGATCTGGGTTTAATCCCGAGGAAAGTGAAGACAGTTGCTGTTGTTGGTGGAGGAATAATGGGTTCTTCAATAGTAACAGCATTCATTCTTAGTAATTACTCTGTCATTTTGAAAGAAGTGAATGAAAAGTCCCTGCTGGCTGGAATTGAAAGAGTTAAAGGTGACAGCAAACATTTATTTAGGTGAAAGATCTCTTCCCCCCCTTCCCCCTTCCAACCTCACTCCCCGTCTGCCTCTTACCCAAGAGCTTTTTGTTCGAACTTTTTCTGCTGTTATAACTTGTCTCTCTTTTTCTGTTTTTTCTCCAGTAAATTTGCAAGATCATGTCAATAAAGGAAAATTGGCAAAAGCGAAGCTTGACAAAATCCTCTGTCTCTTTAAAGGTGTTCTCCACTATAAAGGTTTTAGAGAAGTGGATATGGTTATCGACGTTTTTACTGTGAACCAATTGTTGTTTGAATCTCTCTCTCTCTCTGTCTCCCCTCTCCCTTCTTTCCCCCAAACATACATCTAATCCATTGCATTCTAGGCGTCTAGCTGTTGCTAGCAGCTCTAAAGTAGAGCTTGTTTAAGTGAAACACTAAGCATAAAGAACTGGAGTGATGAGATAATGTTGGTCCAGAAAATTGGGAGATGAGCATTTATATCCACCTTGTTTGCTGACCTGCAACAGCTATCTTCTACTGGCTACTCCTACCCTTCCTGGATCTATCACTAAAGCTACCATTAAATCTTGGGACAATTTCCTGATATACAAGAGATATACGTATAAAATATGTGAAAAAATGCAAAAAGTTGAAACCCCTAAGAGAAAAGTTGGGGAAAGTGAAGGTGGAGGGAAGATAACATGGAACAAGTAAAAGATTGAAATATAGAACAGCAAGAGAAAGCGAATTCGAGAATAACAATAATTATTTTTAGATTTGAGGTTGTCAAGAATGCTTTCTTTAATGGTTGTTTTTTTTTTTTTTGTTTCCTTTGGTGTTTAAGCAGGCTGTGAGTGAAAATACTTATTTAAAGTAGAAAATTTTTGCTAAGCTTGAAAGATATTGCCCACCACATTGCATACTTGCTAGCAGTTCTTCCATGATAAATTTAAATTTAATCGGTGAAAGGACAAAATTGCAAAATCATATTGTCGGGACTCATTTTTTCTGGTATCTTTGCTTTGAGCTTCTTTTGGTTTTAGTTTCCAACCTAGCATTGATGTGTGCTTTTGATGCAGTCAAGCCCATCTCATGCCACTCCTGGAGATAGTTCGAACAAAAAACACATCTCCTCAGGTCATTGTTGACTTACTAGCTATTGGAAAGAAGATGAGGAAAATTCCATTAGTGGTCCGCAATTACGCTGGATTTGCAATTAACCGGATGTTCTTTCCTTATTCACAAGCAGCTATGAGGCTTGTTGAACATGGTGTTGATCTCTATCAGATTGACCAGGCAGTTACTGGGTTTGGAATGACAATGGGGCCATTTAGGTACTTTTAAAAGTGAAAAGAGTAGTATCTAGGTTCTAGTTTAATTGCTACTAACAACAATTCTGTTCCCAAAAGAAAGGAAAGTGTTTGGTTTTAAGTTTTTCCAACAATCTGCATCATTATTCTCTTTATGCTTTTAGCACCTTGGCCAAAAATTTGATTTAGTACCCATCAGTTTGGCTCTAATATTTGTGTTCTTGATGCAGAATGATTGATTTTGTTGGTTTTGGGGTTGTAACTGCAATGAAGGCCCAATTCAGCAAGGATTTAGGAGAAACATACTATGAATCAAAGCTGATTTCAGTCATGCAAGAGGACAACCGAGCTGGTATGTTGTCTGCCCCTTTCCTGAAAGTAACTGACAATCGTATTTTGGCACACTATTGGGCCAAAAACTGACCAATGGAAATGGTTATTGAGTATCCTCCTCCTCTTTCTATTTATGAGGCTTATACTGCTCAAGTATCATATTTTGATCTCTATTTCCTGTTTCAGGTTGAACTACACAAAAAGGTTTCTACATGTATGACAGGAAGTCCAAGGTTACCCCTGATCCTGATATTAAGAAGTATGTCAACAAGGCCAGGAGCATCTCTGGTATTAGTGTTGATTATGAGGTTATTTACCTCCCCTTTCTTTCATTTACATGAATTTGTTAAGTTATATTTCTTTTGTCAGGTTTCATGATTGAGCTGATAGCCAGTTGGGCAAAAAGTAACAGTTATAAGACTTCACCTTTTTCTTTTTAAAATTTCCCTGAACTTATTATTGACAAGTTCTATATTGCTTCTCTCTGTGTGGATTCCTGAATGTCTAACTTGAAATTCCCTCCCTACTCTTTCTGCCTCTCTTTGTGTGGGCATTGACATCTGGTGGCTTTGAATTTTTACTCAGTTGATGAAGCTGTCTGATGAAGAGATAGTTGAAATGATTCTCTTCCCTGTTGTCAATGAGGCATGCTGCCTTCTTGAGGACAGAATTGTTGTCAAGGCATCAGATCTTGATATTGCTTCTGTTAAGGGCTTGGGGTTCCCAGAACATAGGTTTGTGCTCCCCTTCCTTCCTTTTTTCTTTTAGATGGTTGGATATTTAATTTCTAATTTTAATTCACCATATGAATGTCTTAGGGGAGAAATCATTTTTTGGGCCGATACTCTTGGATCAACATATATATGTTCAAAATTGGA